TAGATGACATAGAAGACATATATGATTTCTTAGGGATCGACGTCATCCTTTAGATCATCATCATCCATGTCTTCTTTCGTGTAACAATATCATAGTTTATATTATATTATAGATATAAAAGGATAACGCGTCTTTGTGGCACAATTTTCGCCACAGCTCTAATTTTAATAGTGAAAACATTATTAAATGATTTTCAAACGTTTAAGGAATAGTTTAATTATGGCGTTTATTATGCTAGGATCAAGGAAATTTAATGCTTACCATGGTATTATGTCCAAAATCCTTTGTTTAACAAAAACTTACTTAATTGAAAGGATTGGAAATAAATCCACTATTCCAGACATCATGTTATTCAAACGATATGCGAGTGAAAAATATTACAATTTATTCGCTGAAGAACAAAAGATTAACTTAGTTTACATTCTATTATAAGATAAAAAAAAAATAAAAAAATATATACACTGTATATTTATGTAATGATGATCCTGAATTGACCAAAATGGAGGGTCGTTATTGACGTGATTTAAGTTGAAAGTGTTGTCAGACGATTGTTAAATCTCCTGGTTCCGTTGCGCACAGAGGTATCAACAATGCTTCTGACATATATTATATAGTAACGACCCATATATCATGGTCGAAATGGATGAAGTTCGCAAATATAGCTTTTAAATAAAAAAACACAAAAATCTTAAAAATCATCGAAAGGCTTTCGTGTAGAATTGTTGTAAATTTCAAATAAACCCTTGTTCATATTTATATAAAATGATGTAAAGTTACCCCTCGATGGTACCCTTGAAGAATATAAAACCGCGTCTCCTCAGCCCAGAAAAAAACCATTCGATTTCCCCAAACTAATAATTACCAAATCTTTTTAAGTTACATCATTAAAATAACTACTATTTGATTCAGCTTATCTCAAGAAATTCGACAAGCCAAAAGTCATTAATTTTTGATTACTGGTTATTAAAGATATTATATTTAAAGTTTTTATAATGTAAAAGTTAGTTGATTCGTCCATGAAACCCTTTGAATAACAATACTCTTGGTTCCCATTTCGTAATCGTCAATCCATCTAAAGAGTATGTAATCAAAACCGCAAAAATATTCGGCCTTTTAAAACGTCTAGCGAAAATAGTGAGTAAACTAAGCCACCAAATTCCCGTTGTATTCACGTGTTTTCTTCATAATTAATCATAGTCGTCGAATTTTTCTGCGCAAATACAACGACCCGCACGACGACATTCTGGACTCCACATAGCACCACATCTTTTCTTTTTGACAACAGTTTCAAATTCACTTTCTTCTGAAGCATCCAAATCGGATTCTTCGTCAGAAGAGTCAGGGTGTTCATCTGAGGAGGATGAAGAAACATCTGCTTCATACTCATCATTATCAACCTCGGGAAATTCGAGTATTTCGTCCGACTCAACTTCTAGCTCATTTGGCACGACAGACTGTTGTTGAAATTCGTTGAAGTTCACTTCCTGAACGTTATAATCAGTTATTATAGAAGTTTCAGTTGTGAAAGGTTCCGATAAAGTGAAGGGGATAACTCCCAAGAGAACTTCCCATTCATAATAAGCCTTCTGTCTCTTTATAGGAGTTACCAATTCCTGAAATAATTGGGGTTCAACTCGTTCTATGCTTCGTTTGACTTGCATTTTTTAAATAAGAGCTTTGAAAAGTTTTAATAGCGTAAAGGAATTATTTATGATTTGAAAATTTTTTTATTTTTTTTTTTTGTTTTAAAAAAAAAAAAAAAAAAACGCTTTTGTGGATTTGTTGGGAAAAATTGGTTTATTTTTTTTATTAAAAAAAAAAAAGTTTAATATTAAATGATTGGCTGTCATGGTTACACGCTGATCTAACGAAATACAATTCATTTTTAGCGTGTGAATGTGTAAGGATCATTTTTTCCAGAACCATTCGGTAATACTACGTATATTTAAATGGGTAAATCAAAAGGTCAGGGTGGAGGAAGTGGTGGTAGCAAAGGTGGAAAAGGTAATAATAATATGAAGGTTACAGTTAATGAGACATATTTCATTCTAGTCATAAGTTGACACGCGTTTAATGCTAAACATCAACATTCAAATAGAGGAAGGTTCTGGGAAAGCTGGAAAACTGAAAGCTGCAAATAGCGTAAAGGTGAATTTTTATTTGAATATTTTATTTTATTTTGGAATTTGCCGTGACGACTTTGTCAAGTCCACGCATGATCTTAAAATGGAAATTATTTTTTTATGCAGGTTCGACATATACTGTGTGAGAAACATTCGAAGGTAGGTACTAATAACACATTATTATAATTCATCCCCCGTGTTAACGTGTTGTTTCTTTAAGGTCATGGAAGCTTTAGTAAAATTAACAGAAGAGAACATGCGATTTGATAAGGTATACATTGTTAACATTTCATTCACATTTACATTCGTCGTCCATATTTATTAAAGAATTTCTAGGTTGCGGAATTGTATAGTGAAGACAAGGCGAAACAAGGAGGTCATTGACATGATTATTTATGAGATTAGATTGATCATCAGAGCAACCAAACAAACAAGATCGATTTCTTTTTTAATAGGTAGTTTAGGTTGGATGAATCGAGGATCGATGGTAGGAGAATTCCAAGATGCCGCATTCGCATTACAACCAAGTACTTTAGGTGAGACAACAGTTTACATTTTCATAACTCAATATCAAAATCTCCCGCTGATACCATGATATTTCATTATAGATAATCCGATCTTTACCAATCCACCGGTATGTACATAATTTGATCCCTCCTTTAATTTAAACAAAGAACTTAGACTTTCTTTTTTAAATTATTAGATAAGAACAAAATTTGGCTATCATATAATTATGGTGGTAAGTTCTCTCATTTAAATAGCATTAAATTGAATTGTATGTGGCTAATCTTTCACTTTTTGTAAAAAAAAGGAGGGTCGAAAATAATGAAAGTTAACTTGCGAGAATTTAATTATTTGAATCGAATGACAATATGTTAATTTAATCATTGTACTATATATGTAATGCAAATTTTTGTCTATTTAAAAATTTCTGAAAGAAAATCTTTTTAATATATTATTGTGCATATATAAAATCATGCTATATATTATAATTTTTAATTGAATCGTCGTGATCATCCGATAACCGATAAGGTCGCTAGACACGTGATCAACGATATTGACCATATTTTCAAGGGGACGCGAAAAAATAAAAATTTAAAATATGGTTTATAAAAAATAATGGTCCCACACAAGGGTCGTTCAACTAATTTATAAGTAATGCGCATTCTCTGACTGACAGTTCATGCTAAGTCACGTGTGTTTCCCAAGCGAATGAAAAGTTCTACAGTCAATAAAGAACTTACATCTGTATTTGGAAAATCTAGTTACCAAGACGATAAATCATATGAATCATAAAGTGATTTGTAAAAATTGAATAAAAGGTAACGGATAAGGGAGAAATAATTAGCACAATTTCATAGTGCTATTAATAGAACACAAGTACAAAGCAATTTATCGCGTGCACATTTCGTCAGATTTCTTTGTTTGAATAAAATCAACCATCAACGAAAATATGCGAGATATAAAAAAGGAATGATGATAATGAAATTCTATGGGGACAAAAAAAAATGTGCTGCGTTTTTCTATGTTAACCATGATTCACGTGACATGTGGTCAAAAGTTTACCAAAAGTGATGAATTGTTCTACCACATAAAAACATTTTTTTTTGCCAACTATTGTCTAACCTTATACGGGTTCGCGTGAAAATTAGCCTTCGACCGGTTAACTTTTTCATTGATCCAACCTAGATTGGCATTTTTTGGAGTTTTTTTTTTCCCAAAAAAAAAAATGGTTTTGTTTGATTTGTTTTTGAAACAATATACATAAATTTTTTGTTTTCTTTTCAACAGATATACACGCGTTATGAATCGCTTAATCCATCCAGGTTGGTCATAAAGTCATAAATCCTCCCTCCCCATCAATCAAAAACACAAAACTCAAATCAAGAAGGGATCAACTAACCCGTGCATACCCTTTCAATCAAATAACCCCAACTTTTTTTCGACCATTGTTTGATAACTAATGAATAAGGTTTATAAGGTTTAAAAGGGTCCAATGCTCCAAGCATGTAAATGCAAGTCAAAGTTTAATTTAAACAAAAAATTCGTAAAAGATAATCTATTATGATTTCCTTCAAAAAGAAAATTTAAAATCTCAATCGTAACGGGCCACTTGAACCTTTTATTAACTATTAACAGAAAGGTTTCTCATTTTCAAACGGTAATTAGGTAGTTACAACATATGAATCATATCATGACACAGCTAAACTAAATTAAATTAAGAAATTTTTTAATATAGTAACAAATATATTTTATGTACATATATGTACGTTATATTATTTATTTATTAAACTATCCGGATTTATTTAATAGATCGGTATATAAGAGCATCCTTCAAATTTACGTCAATATTTTCTAATAAATATAATTATTTATTTTTTTTTTTAAAAAAAAAAAGAACGAAAGGAAAAAAAAAAAAAAATTTTTTTTTTTTTATTAAAAACAAATAAAAGATATGAAGGATATAAAGGACATTAAAACGTTAAATGATATACTCGTGAATGATGGTAATTATGAATCAACATTATCATCACGGTCGTCTTCGTCATCTTCAAATACGTACATTCCGACATCAAATCATTCATCGACCTCAACTTCAAATCCAATTCCAATTCCACAAGAAGAAGAAACAATAAAAATTTCAACAGAATATGAACGGGACATCATTGAATTACATATACTTAAATTACATGATCCGTCAATTATTGACATGTTGGAAAAACAATTGTGTAAGGTTAATGGTATAGAAAATGTCGAGATTGATTTTGCGACAGGAAATGCTATCATAAATTATAATAAAAAATTCTTGGGTACGAGAGATATGGTGGAAAAGATTGAATACTTGGGATTTAAATGTAAATTAATTAATAATATTAAATCAAATCAATTGGATTATTTTACCAAGCAAGACGTGATATCGGAATGGAAAAGATCATTTTATTATTCCCTAACATTTACGATACCCATACTCGTTATTTCAATGATATTACCGAAATTTGAATGGGGGTTAAGTATCATTAACCTGGAATTATTTCATGGATTATACGTTGGTGATTTGGTCTCGTTCTTATCATGTTTGATCGTACAATTTGGAATCGGAAAGAAATTTTACATTGCAACTTTTAAAGAGATTAGAGATGGAAACTTTACAAAGAATTTATTGATCGTAATCGCAACTTCCATCGCATTCTTCTTTTCTTGTTATTCAATGATTGATTCAATTTTTAATGATTTGTCATCCACACGCCCTTTGATAATGTTTGATACATCCGCCACCTTAATAACATGCGTTGCATTAGGTAATTATTTAGAAAATGTAGCAAAGAGAAATAGTTTAGAATATGTAACCGGTTTATTATCACGTATACCGAAATCAACAACGATCCTTCACTTCAATGGAGAGATAACAGGGGAAAGGATCATACCTACGGAATATTTACAAGTTGGTGATGTAGCAAAAATATCACCAGGGATGATAATTCCGGCCGATGGAAAGGTCATCTCTGGATTATCCGACGTAAACGAATCGATGATCTTGGGAAAGCCACCCGGACAAACGGTAAGAAAGGTTCGTCGTGGAGATGATGTGATTGGTGGATGTGTTAATGGATCGGGAAATTTTGAAATGCAAGTCGTTCGTGTAGGAAATGATAGTATATTATCACAAATCATTAAATTTGTCAAAGATTCACAAGTGACGAATCAATCACCAATCCCGACCTATTCATATAAATGTTTTATCCTTGGAATCATTACGTTGGGAATAATATTATTTAGTTTATGGGTGTTCACCAATTTAGAAATGTACCTTAATTTAAGCATTTCCATCTTAATCCTTCCTTGCTTATCCCTCATCTCGACGGATGTTAGAGTTGGCAGTGACATTGGAGCTCGAAATGGTATTTTAATTAAAGGGAAACGAGCATTCACTCAAGGTACTAAAATAACAAAAGTTATTTTCAATAAAACCGGAACATTGACTCAAGGAAAGTTTGATCTAACACATTATGAACTCATGAATGAAGGTTTAAAGGAAATCACACCAGAGATCTTTTTTACATTGATCGGAGCCGTAGAATCATTAAGCGAACATCCGATAGGAAGATGTATCGCTGATTATAGTAAACAATTATTAAAAGGAGAATGCGATGATGATGTTGATGTTAGTAATTTCGAATATATAACCGAAAGAGGAACGGGAATTAAGTGTGATGTATTGCTTAATACTTTCTCGTATTTATCGTTTTATAACACATCGAGATCGTATAAGGTATTGATTGGAAATATTGAATTTATTTCAAAACTTCATCGAATTGAAATACCTAAATCCGCTTTATTAATTAAAGAAAACCAAGAATTATTAGGTAGAACGATAGTATTAGTAGCCATCAATAATACATTTATAGGATTGTTGTCTTTATCAGATTTGATTAATCCTGAAACGAAATTGACGGTTGGCGCATTAAAATTCATGGGAATAAAAGTTGCCATGATAACGGCCGATGAAAGATTGACCACACAAACGATCGCCTCTCAATGTGGCATAGATGAAATCTATTTTCAACTTTCATCAAAGGATAAAATAAATGTCACCCGATCGTTACAGTTAACTGATAATATAGCGATGGTAGGAGATAACGATATAAAAGCAGATATAAACATATCATTAATTAATGATGATATGAATAATGATGATGCTGATATGCTATTGTTGAGTGGAAGTTTAATCGATGTAGTTGCTTCTTTGGACTTGTCAAAAAAAGTATTTCGAAATATGAAATTAAATTTGGTCATTATCACTTGGTATATCGGAATCACTCTCGGTTTTTTCGCTATATTTGCGTATCCAATTTATCCTAATATTTATTTACATCCTATTTTGGCTAGTTTTCTCATGCTTCTCGCTCGTTTGAGTGTCGCGTTTTCTAGTTTATTCTTTTTAAAATATTGGAAAAAACCTCTCTGGATTGAAAACTTTAATGGAAGTGTAGTAAAAATGAAACATGACAAGAGTCGCAATTGTCACGTAATTGATTGGTTTAGAAACAAAAAGATTAGAGAAAATAGAATAGAAAATGAAAATATCATTGATTTATAGGTTGTATATCAGTATATATATATACAGTATATATATAAAAAAAAAAAAAAAAAATTTTAAATTATTTTTATTAAAATTTTTATCCATAAAAGATTCTAATTCGGTTCTTAGTTATTATAATTTTCTTAATGTAAAAATCATATTTGAAATTAAAAAACTTAATCTTTCAGTAAAATTATAGTGTGTGTGTGCGAAATTATAGAAAAAAGTTTGTAAAAGACGTAACAGATCTTAAATAAAGGTGCGAACGTTTGTATTATTATTAAGTACAACATAAAGGGAAATATTAATAAAATAATAAAAAGGTGATTATGATGACGATGTGTAATGGAATTCTTGTTAAACGCATAAAGAGTTTTATATAATAGGTTTAAGCTTACAATAAAGCAAATACGTTAGAAATTATAATCAGAATTTTTTAATATTTTTTTTTTTTTTTTTTTTTTTTTTTTTATAAACAAAACTATTCATTAATTAAATTAATTACAAAATGATTTTTTTTTAAAAAAAAAAATAATATTCACTAATTTTCTCCAAGCCATTGAGCCAGCATTTCTTTAAGTTGACCGATTTTCAATGGTTTGGTTAAATAATCATTCATTCCAGATTCAAGACATTTATCTCTCGTGCCTTGAACTGCTGAAGCTGTTAAAGCAATGATAGGAATTTTTGATATTGGTGACGGTATGGCCCTTATGGCTTTTGATGCATCGAATCCCGACATGATAGGCTAATAAAAATAGTGATAAAGTTAGATTCTTTTTTCTTTTTTTTTTAAGATCGATTAAGCAATTTTTTTTTTAATATCTATTCATTGTTATTCAAAAGTATAGAGGATAATGACTATTTCCAATGCATGCTTATCCATTGGTTAAATAATAATACATCCATCCCTTATACAAACCTTGAAGGTTGAAAAAAAAAAAAAATTTATATCGTGTTAATTTACCATAGCACAATCCATTAATATCAAAGAAATTCTTCCACTATCCACTGCTATATTTGACGATGATGACACGGAATAATGTCCTTTTGTGATGATTTGTGAAGACTTTTCATCTGCATTATTACATTCTGCTTGGATTATATTAACTGCCTCTTGTCCATTCGTTGCCGCTATGGTCTGATATCCAAGTTTTGAAAGTTGATGTTGTATAACCTGTAAAAATAATATTTCTTATTAAAAAATGTAATAAAACATTTTTTTTTCTAAAAAATGAATTATTTTAAATACCTTAAGATTTATAGGATTATCCTCCTAGATAATTAATTAAGTAACGTTAAACGCAATGGAAAAATTTATTTAACAAAATTGACATACGTACCACACATAAAATGCACTTTGAATTTGAAATGGGGCGGGATCTATATTTTGAAGCAGGATACTCATCAGGAGATTGAATATGGTCTTCACCATGTGCCATTCTTTTCAGGGATGTCTTCTTTGAATTCGAATATGATGTCTTTTTAGGTCCATCTGAATTCAATTTCTCTTGCGTCTCATCAACAATCATTTGATTATCGTCACCTGACGATTTCTCTAAACCTTTTGCAACTTCTGGTTCTTTTCCTAACGGTAATGGTCTTTTATGACGATAATATTTTTCAACCCTTATGTCAGCTAATGATTTTACAGAATTATAATCAATTATCGGTTCTGGTACGGATGAGATCGATGACTTGAATATTTCAATATTATGCAAACAATCCAATAATCTCTTTTGCATTATTGGCTTGCATAATGTCGCAATATTTCCTTTAATATCTTTCATAAGTTCCTGCCCTAAAGCGCGTCCGTTTACGGAAGAATTCACCATAAGTGCTATGCAAAGATCTTCTTTTCCATGAATTCTCAACTCTTTAGCAGCCTTTATAACTTTTTCTTTATTATCTTCACGAACGTTGAAAAATACAATGTCATACAATGGTTCATTATGGGTTTTCCTCCATTCTTTCGATAATGTTATTCCCTTATCTGATGTATCAAATGCATCAATTCTCTCTACACTAGCCCCAATTAATTTAACCAAAGCTTCTCGAGCTGTCGCAATAGGATCAACGATTAAAATACGTTTTGATCTAATTATAGCGGGCAAAATTAATCCAGTTTTTTCATCGTTCTTTGAAATATCAGCGGAAGAAATTTGTGAAATGGACGTAATTGGTATGGCAGATAAAGGTAAAGGTTCAACGATCCTTTTTTTTTAAAAAAAAAATAAAAATAGATAAATAAAAAGGAAAAAAATCTGAATCGATAAAAAAGAATGTTTTGATGTGTTTTCATAATTAAATTATAAATATAATGAATACATACCAGGTGAACCAAAATCGGCTTCCTTTTCCAAATTCACTTTGCACTCCCATCTCACCACCATTAATGATTACTAGGTGTTTACAAATTGAAAGGCCTAACCCTGTCCCATCTTGGCGTCTTGTCATTGAAGCATCCCCTTGAGAGAAACTTTCCCAAATATCTTTAATAAATGTCGGATTAATACTAGAAAAATTGTTTTAATTAGTGTATTAGAAATAAATAAAAAATTTTTCGGAAATAAAAAGTTTGATGATCTTTTATTTACCCAATGCCGGTGTCGATTATTTCAACAAATAATGTTCCTTTTTTCACGGTAGTAATTTCATTGCTCGCTCCAGCTTCGTCATGGGCAACTTCGTTTGTATTTATCATGCCAACCTTGAGACAAATTTCTCCCTCTTCGGTAAATTTAATGCTATACATCATAATAAAGATTTTTTTAAAAAAAATAAAATAAGATAAAAAAAAAATCGAATGGTTTTAAAATGAAAGATGATATTTCAAATCACTTACGAATTAGACAACAAATTCATCAAAACTTGTTGCAATCTAAAAAAAAAAAATTTAGATATTCTAAATCACAAATTCTCCTACTTTTGAAAATATTATTTTTGTTTTTTTTCGTAAATCATAATTTTAAATACCTTTCTGGATCCGATTTGACATATTTCGGCAAAGAAGTTGGTTCGCAACACAAAATCAATTCAACTTGTTTTGCACCAGCTCTTTCACCAAAAATTTCTATGGTTTTTTCCATTAAATCAAATAAATCAAAAGTTCTATTTATTAAAGTAATCTTTTGTGCTTCTAATTTTGCTGCATCTAAGATATCATTTACAACTGATAAGACTACGTCGGAAGCTCTAGTCATTATATGAACCATGTCTTTTTGCTCTTCTGAAAGTTGAGTCTCTTCGAATGCTGATAATACTCCTATAATTGCTCCAAGTGGCGTTCGTAATTCTACAATTAATATTAAAAAAAGTTAAATTTAAAATAATATGTATTTGAAAAAATGACGAATAATAATATAAAACACAAACCATGAGAAGTATTAGCTAAAATTTGACCTTTAGCTTCATTTGCAGCTTTAGCTGCTTCCATTTGTGCTTCCTTCTTCAAATTATCTTCCAAAAGTGCAGAATGTGTAATAGCCAAACTAATTTGATTCGAAATTTGTTGTAAAAATACCTTTTCATAATCGAACCAAGTATTGTTTTGAGGTCTATCTGCAATTATCCATCCCCATACGTTTGAATTGACTTTGACTTTAATTGGAAGTACAATTGATGAAACTTGGTGATTAACTACGGGGGAATAATAATCTTGAAAAACTGAAGCTTCAAATTCTTTAGCAGTTTCAACAGGATCTTCTGTGGCTTGTCGAATAAATTGGATAGCTTTACGTGAATCAAAGTCATTTTTACCTGCTGAAAATGGTATAAATGGTATAAAAGGTTTATCCTTCTCGTTCATTGAAAAACGGACCAGTTGTCCTTTCAAATTTGGTTCATTTGGATCTTTTGTCGAAAATGTCATGACTTTTAAATTGACACTATCGTTTTGATCTGCAGCCAAAATATAAATCCTATCACATGGTAAGATTTTATGAACCTCCTCGGTAGCTGTTGAAAGAATGTCTTGAATATTTAATTCCGATCGAATTTTACTACTGATTGAGAACAACAACTGTCTTGTATCTGCTTGACGTTTTTGCTCCAAGTAAAATTGTTGACGAAGATGGTATAGTTTAATATTGACTCGTATTCGAGCAATCAATTCCTTAGCGTTGAATGGCTTGGTCAAATAATCATCAGCTCCATAATCCAACCCTATTCACAAAAAAAAAATAATTTTAAATAAATAAAAAATAAATTCGAATGCAAGTATTCAAGAATTTTTTTTTTTAAAAAAAAAAAAAAGAGTTAAAAAATAAATACCTTCAATACTAGCTTCTTCTCCAGCTTTAGCGGATAGTAAAATTACTGGGATCATTTGAGTTGATCGATTATTTCTCAAAGTTTTTAACAAATCAATTCCATTCATATTAGGCATCATAATATCTAAGTAAAGGTAACAATAATAATTGTTTAATGGAATAACTATTTATCATAAAGAAAAGAAAATATAATTTTTACCGCTTAACACTAAATCTGGCGCAACATCAATCTTTCTCAACATTCTCAAAGCATCACGACCATCACAAGCACTGCATACTTCAAATTCATTCCTCAATACTCCAGATAAATATTTTCTAGATGATACGATAAAAATTTAAAATTGTGTAATCAATAATTTGCATGAAATGATTATATTTAATCCTGACCTCATATCAGTATTGTCATCTACAATAAGTATTTTAAATCTTTTGCCACCTGTGATAAAAGGATCATCCCATGAGGACGGGAATTCGCCTGTTCCCGTTCCAGGGATATTTATTTCGAAAGTCGAAGAATCGATGGGATCATCTAAATCCATGTCTCGATCGAATTTCTGGTCAAGATCTTCAGTTTGAATCTTTTGAATCCATTGTTCTGATTCTTCAATATAAAGATCACGACTTGAAAATAATTCTTTCTCCAGAACTTTTTCATTTTCTTCACCAAAATAAACTTTTTTAGGTGGTAAATGTTCCCATCCAGTAGGTATCCGAACTTTAAACGTACTACCTTGATCGACAACAGACTCCACAAATATATCACCGCCATGACGTTGAATTAATTCTTGCACAAGCGCAAGACCAATTCCAGTTCCTTCATGGCTCCGTGATTGACTCGATTCAACGCGATAAAAACGTAGAAATAATTTAGGAATGTGATCCTCTGGTATACCAACGCCTAAAAAAAAGAAAAGAATAATAATAAAATAAAGAAAAAAGATAACGGACTCGAATAGGTGTCTGCAATAAAATTTTATAAAAAAAAATATTTTGCGTCAATGAAAAAATTTAATACCTGTATCTATAACCTCAAGCACAATAAATTCTTTATTATCTTGCTTTTCTGAATATAACTTGACCGTAACACCTCCACTCCAAGTATGTTTAAAAGCGTTTGAACCTGTAAAAAAAAATAAATGTTACACATGTTAAAACATTTCCTCTAAATAAAAAAAAAAAGAGGATCAAAGTAAAACGATTATACTTGCATAAATTGAACAAAATTTTTTCATACATATCTCGATCAATAAAAACTTTCTTATTCAATTGTCGATTAAATTCAACTTGATCTGGTACTTCGATAGTATATGTCACATCTAATGATTTAGCCATACTCTCAAAACTTGAAGCAAGTTCTAAAGTAAGCTTCGCGATTTCGGTTTCACGAAATTCTGCTTCCAAGTTACTAGTCTCAGTTCGAGAAAACTAAGATTTCAATAAATTAATATTTAAACGTTTTTAATTCCGTTTAAATAAAAAAAGATTAAAGCGCAAACCTGTAATAATGTATTAACAAGTTTAAGTAGTCTACGAGCGTTACGTCTTATCATATGAAGATGGGTTAAACATCGTGATGGATCCGAAATATTTGATATCGTATCTTCTAATGGTGAAAGCATCAAAGTCAAAGGAGCTAGGATAAATTTGTGAAATTTGAATTTCAATTAGATAGATAGGTGGATTATAATGACTAAGTAAAAAAGAACAAAACTTACTTCTCAACTCATGACTAATATTTTGGAAGAACATAATTTTTTGTCGATTAAGATCCGCGAGAATTTCAGCTTGTTTCCTTTCTTCTTCCCTTGATCTCCCATTTGATAAACCCGAACTTACATGACTGACTACAAGCTAATATAATATAATATGTTATGAAATTAATTATACTGACTATACATACTATAAACGTAACGAAAAGAAAAATTTTATAATTACACGTAAGAATTCCATATAATCGTTATCAAGTTTTCTTCTCACATTAAGTCCACATATTAGTATGGCATTTACATTCTTTTTTCCAGCAAATGACGTTTTTACCGGCAAGAGGATCGCTTTGGAATCATCTTTAAGTTGTACAATAACATGCGAATTCTTGCTAGCAACTTCTTGTAAAGGCCAAGTTTGAGTCATGTTACATTCACATTCCATTATTTCTTTATTACTTTTTGCATTGTCACCATATATCTCAACCAAATCAGGTGTTTCCAACAAGAAATCCGGGAGACTTCTACTTGATTGCCCATTAAAAATCAATTCTTCAATACCATCCTCTCCTCTTATTGTTACTAAATTTTCATCAAATGTTGTTGCTATTAAATTAGCAGTTGTTTTTTTATTGTTAGTCTCCAAGTAATAAATAATAGCAAATGGCAGATCGGCAACATTCTCTTTTAACGCAGATAATACCAGATGACAGGCACCATCTACTGATCTTGCACCTAGAAAAATTATTTATTTGCTTTTTTTTAAAAAAAAAAAAAAAAAAAGGAGGAAAAGGCAAGAAACAATCGTATATTGACATGATCACGGGATCGACAAATTGTGGGTATCGTTACCAGCAGTTTTATTCCCTAAATCTCCCAGAGTCTTTAATCTTCTAGCCGCTAGGACCCTTTTTGTCGTCTCCTGGACAGCATTAAAAATGCCTCCAACAGTTCCATCACTCTTAAACAATGGACTAAAAGTGAAAGAAAAATAACATTCTTCGACGTATCCTTCTCGATGCATTAATAACAAAGTATCATCTTGGAAGTTCCCTTTTCCAGTTTTAATCACGCTAATTGAAATGAATTTGTGGTGGTGAAATCAGAAATGAATGATAAGGGTTGATCGAATGGAGAAGATTGATAGACGCGAACTTTTATTAAAGACAGCTTACGTATCGAACATAGGTCCTATAACATCGTATATCTCGGACCACACTTCCTTTGCGGGACGGCCCAATGCTATCATCAAACGAATCGATTAATTAAGGATTTTTTAAAAAAAAAAAACTCATGTGATCACATCCGTACCTGGATGTTTCATTTTCAAAATAGGCCGCCACACTATGTATGATTAATGAGGGAAATAAATATCACGCGAAAATACTTTCTTGCCAATTATAAATACTATCAAACATATGCATCATCACTCACTTTGATTATATATTAATCTTAATTCGGGACCATAGTAAACACAAATAGGAAAGTTTAAATGCATACATACATCCTACATAAGGATAACAGATGACCTCTCAATTATCACCAAATTTTCGATTTTGTAACATGGAAAAAAGTTAAAAAATAACAACATACAACTATTGTTTTCAAGGTGGGTTCCCATGTTGACATGGCCCCAAGTGGAGTTTCAGACCAGTCATAGGAGTAAATTAGGTCGTTGACTGGAAGTTCATTGGTATAAGGATCATGTGGGTCGGTATTTTCTTTTCCGAGTAGTGACATGTATGCTATTTAACGAAATTATTACCAATAAATAAATATATACGTAATGTATATAAAAATAAATGAATGTTATCAAAAAAAAATGGGAATTTTTTGATCGGATAATAAAAATAAATGCTTTTAAAACATTCAAAAATTGACAAGTGCATCCATTTTTTAATTCCTTATATAATTTTTTAATTGTCCCTCAAATAAAAGTAGATGTTTTACTGTGTAATCCAAACAGTGTGAAATTTGGTACGATAGGCATGAAATCGGATATAAACAGTTTCCCAACGGTTTTTTGTGGTAAAAAAAAATAATATATGAATAAAAAAAAAAAAAGAAACCCACAAACAAGACAATACCTGACCAGATTGTCGTCATTTTAAAGTTGGATGTATAAATAAAGGTTTGAAATTATTATTGGTAATAAGATGAATAAGGTGTTAGTATAAGTATATGGATAATGGTTATTATAATGGTTATTTCCTTTTTATTGCGTCCCTGATTCAAAAGGCGCAAGGAAAAATGTTCGAAGACCGTTCCAGACTCGTATGTAAATTTTTTTTTGGAAATAAGGGTTATTATATGTATAAATTAGAAAAATGATGGTATCACCACTTTTACAAATGTTAGTTTTAAAGTTTAATTAATATCTACCTTCGGCAGGTTGGGTTTCTTTCCTAATGAAACAGTACGACTATTACTAATTGCTTATAAATATTAACGATGGTCAGCTTGAATTTCTTTTTTTTTTTTTTTTTTTTTTTGAAAAAAAGAAAAAAGAAATTTACTTCTTTTAAACAACAAATATTTGCCGTAATATTTTTTTCGAATTTCATAAAACAACTCATCTTATAACACATTTATTAGCCTAATCTTGATGACGGATTTTTTTTTTTAAGAAATCCGTCGATACTAAATTTGTGCAAAACTTAATTTCTTTGGCGTTTAAATACAGGTTTTGGAGTTACTTTCGCATCTGTGTACCATGTAATACCGTTAATAATACCAAGATTTTAAAGCAGTGTAATTCTATTTGATGAATCTTACCTATAATTGTAACCCAAGAGTTATTAGTTAAAATGTTTTCAAATAATGAGCAAACGCTTAATCACGTGATTAAGTGTGAAATGATAATGAGTAGACTTTGACAACACTTACCTCGAAAAATTCTCTACCATTCGGTACAACGAAGGTTCTTCCGCTTACCTCACCCAAAGATTTCGCCGAAATGTTGATCTAAAATGAATATTATTTATCCTTTTCCTTTTATTAGTGATGTTCTGATGCAAAATTATTATTTGTCATTCCTAGAATTAGTAGATCTAATAATTACTTTCAAGTTCCAATTTCACAATAATCGTTTATCATTTCGCTCGCTCTTTAATTTGGAAACAATTACCATTACTATAATAAATTAATTCATGATATCCATCAGATAATCGGATATAAAAAGAAATAAATAATTTATTTATTTAAATATGTTGAACAAAGCTAGCCGAAATTGATGTGGTTATTATTATTTAAATTGGATCAACTCTTATTGGATTTGATACAAACAAAAAAAAATTTATGCTCTCAAAATACTTGATGTTGATTTGGTAAATTTCAATAAGAATAATAAATTATATATATTAATTAATTAATTCTAATCAAATCTTTACATATTAATTTAAAAAAAAAAAAAAAAAATTTATGGAATTCACGGAACCCGAGGATAGGATTCGCCCAATGCTTCGGTTTCGGTTCGTATTGGATTCCGGATTCGGATCCTATACTTCGGTTTAGGATCGATTCGGATTCGGATCTGGATCCATCTGAAATATTTGGTAAAAGAATCATTTTTGAGATCCGAAGATACGGTTTTCTAATTTTTCGGCTTTTTTTTTTTTGATTCATTTTGATATAAAGTAAAATTTTCGGTATCTTTTAGAACCGAAAATTGGGTTTTCTTTATTAATAATAACCAATATGATCGAAATCTTTTTAAAAATCGAATGTTTCTTTTCAATAAAAAAACAAAATTTTTTTCAAAACTGATAAACGATTTTTCTTTTCCGTAAAAAGAGATACTTTCTTTAGAACAGAAAAACGGTATAGGCAATACTTTTAGAACTTTCTTTTATCAAAAGTCACGGGATTGACGAAAAAAAATTCGTATTTTTTTTTTTTAATAAAAAATTATCGCTAGGTTCGACGAGTATAGCGGCACATTTTTTTCACTCATAGATGGCTTATCCGAATCCTTATGAATGTTCTCGGATATTATCGGCTGTCCTGTGACTTTTGAAATTAGCTGTAATGAAAGAAACATTTTTTGGAAACTTTTAGAACCGAATGTTTCTTTTCGATAAAGAAATGCTTTCGGTTGTTTTAAAAACGTTCCTCTTCAATGAAGAAATACATTTTCGGATTGGATTTTTCGGATCAGTTTTCATTAGTTATACTTCAATATTTATAATATTAAACTATATAATATTAATTTCTGATAAGGTAATATAAATTATTTAATTTATACAATACAAGATTATAGTCCGGAGCGTAAAGCGAAGGATAATTTACTGTCCGGTCATACACCTTCCATTCCACCTACGTCATCATATTAATTTTCTTTTTCGAATTTTTTTTTTTGTTCTTATACCTACTTTCTTGTATTTTATGATAGGATCTACATGGCGCATAAATAGAATATTCATGTGGTATAAGAAAATAGCACCTGATGGTTACATTTGCATCACTGATCGATAAAAAAAAGATTATCAAAAAAAATTATTTTCATGTTTATTACATTATAGCGACGGACTTTAACGGTTTCCGTTTTCCTAGTTATTACTTACAATTGTCGATCAGCGTGCTAATATTTCAAAATTCCGAAATAAATTTAATATTGCAATAATAATCGTAATAGTCTCTGGCAACAGTAATATTATTTATAAATTTTTATTAAGTAATTAATACATCTATGCTTAATGCATGCTTCAACCAAGCTTATATGTTATTGATAGTGTTAATCTTCAATTAAATTTAAAAAAAAACATCATGAGTAATTTCAATAGAATTAAGGTCTGTACTTTAAGAAGGCTAAAATATAATTTCGAATTTCTTAGAGGAATATTTTATATACTAAAAATCTAGTAATAACCAAATAATTCATTTATATTATCTTATAGATACCGTATAGTCCCGAAAATAAGCACCCCGTGACACGCTCCTTTTATAGTAATTTATTTATTTGTCACATGGAATTTATTATATTATTAGTCACGTATATACTGATAAATTCATATATATCACGTGGTGCTTATTTTCGGGACTATACGGTAATTATCAAAATTTGGTCAACCTATTCTTTTTCTTAAAATACATCATATTTAGGATAAAATTTACTGCCTTTAGTACTTTCTCATTTATTTCTTAATTGCATAATTTCATGATTTTACTGAAGCATCCTATTCAAATTCTAGCAATTTGCAAAATATAAAATTAGCAAAAAGGAATAATACAAAAGATAAAATAGAGATAAATTTGGCTTACTATAAAAAAACTTTGATTTTGCCTTGGAATTATATCAAAAAGAAAAGAACAATTCTCATTTTGTTAAAAGCTTTGATACTCATATAAAACCAGTTGTTAAATCTGTAGAAAAATGTGAAAAAAAGCTAAATACTCATACATAACAAAGTACATTGAATCAAAAAATGGAAAACTTGCCTTAAAGATTATTAAAAAAGTATCATTTATTATATTTTCACTTAATATAAAATATTAATAAAAGAATATAAAAAATTATGGAAATTGATAGTTGATCAGATCAGCATCACGTGATAGCCACTTCATATGCGCGCATTTTTAAATCACATGATCACTATATTTTTTTAAAAAATTGTCTGTTTACAGTAATTAAGTTTTACAATTCAAATTAAAACTAATACCTTCAGATAACAAAAAAAATTTTTCAACTCAAATTCGAAAAAAAATAATAAATACCATTTCAAATCCATCAACTATTTTTAAAACTCATCAAACTTGAAAGTTAAAGCAACATGATAATTTCGCTAATATAGTAATAGTAATTAAATAACAGTTAAATGCTTTTTGACAGATACTTAGGTATAAAATATTGCTATAAAGCTGTATTTGTTTTCTGAATATTTACAAAATAATTTTAAAGTTATTGACAAAATTTTTCATAAAATAGTATAATATAGCTTGTCTCTTATTCAGTGTTGGTCTTTTGGACTAATAGACTTTTGGACTATTAGACTGCTGGACTAATGGACTTAATCCATTCCAATTTCATTAAAATTTAGACTATTGGACTATAGAATTCGTTCAACAACTATAAATTTTTAGCAATATGTAAATCATTTTATTGATATTTATTATAATTTTATTAAATTTACTAATTATTACTTAATAAAAATTTGACAAATAATTAGGTTTTCCTAAACTCGCAATATAAATATCTAAATATTTCCATTTAGAATTTTGATCTCTAGCAGGATGAGGTAAATTTGAAATGTTTGTAATATTAATTTTAAACTTTCTGTCACCTGAAAAATTAAGGTCAATAGAATCGTTCTAGTTGAACGATTTTATTATCGTATTGTAACAGGATTAGATTGATGAACATGATGCAGTATATTGCAAATCTAAATGTCAGATATATCAGACATATTTGATATATTTGATATACTGAACATATTTGATATAATTGATATTTTTGATATATCGAACCTATTAGATATATTTGATTTATTTGTTATATTCATCTATGTATTAATTTAATATAAATAGGGAGTAATAGAATCATGTAAACAGTAGTTCACTTGTAATTTACTTTTAGTTTCTTTTAGTTTTGCTTTTAGATACATATCTAGTAGTCCTTATAGAGGCATCTGGCCTAATATCTTACTTAGTATTTTAACATTTTAGATTTCTTTTATTCTTTCTTATTTTATATAATTATTATTATCTTTTATTTTATTATTTATCGTCAATAAACATATTATTAT